CGCCATCCATGAAGATGTACCTGGAGGTAGTGATGATAATATTAATTAAAATACCGACGATTTCTGATTGACACTGAAGGTAGTGACTAATCAGAATTCAAAAAGAGGCCAACGACGAAGATGAGCGCGCTTTGTGTCAACGTAAGCGCTAAATACCCTATGAACTGAGACCCTTGAGCATAACAAATCAATTTTTTTGGAGACGACGAGGAGCAAGTCAGAAGTGTGTGGCTGGGGCAAGTCTGCGTCGTTCTTGCCAACTTCAGAACAGGCGACGGACTTTTCCCGCGCTCCAACAGTTGCCTTGATGACCTTCTCCAGGTGTTCCTTCCGCAAGGGAACGGGCGACTTGCGTGGAGTGTTCTTCTGCTCACCTGAAGCATCAATGTCATAGATGACCAGGACAGAGGACTCTGCGTCGCTCTCGACCGCCATCAAAGACAACGCCCGGAGCTCAGCAGCCAGCTCCGTGATACTTTTCTCATCTTTCTCACCGGTCGCGCTGAGCAGGCTGAGGTAACTATCCACCTCAGCGACAACCTTCTCCTCAGCCTGCTTCACTACATCCTCCTCCTCCGGAATGTACTTCTCCAACAGACCTGGCTGCGCCACTGATACGGCAAGAGGATAGCTTTCCTCGTTGTCGCCTGTCTGGGGCATGGCCTCCCCTGGGCCGTCCTACTCCAGCAGTTCCTTCAAACTGGACTGGTTCTTCAAGCCATGCTTGATGGCGCTGTCGTACTTGGTACCAAACAGGAACTCCTGCAGAGCATTGTGTTTACAGGACAGGCGACATTCCAGGACAACTATTTGATCTGATTTGATCTTTAATATTTCAGCTAGAGATTTTTGACAGCCTCGGCAAAGAGAAGGTTCTCGGTGCCCAGCCCACTCAGCTGACCCCTCCAGGAAAGGTCCGTGGATGGCTCATTGCCAGGTCCTTCAGCATAGGCAATAATCATCTAATTAAATACAATAAGATGTATTTATAGTCAAGTATTGAATATACTGATCTCTGACACTTGCAGTGAGTCTTAAGCAGTCCTGCCAGCGAAACACCCTTCTCACGCAGGGCAACGTCGAACGGGCGACCGTTACCGCATTTTTTTCGACGGACGACAGGGTCTTGGAGGGCAGCCCGAACCAGTGCAACCTCTCTGGTCGGCAGACCGTTTGCTTCCATCAAGCTAAACAGCTTCTCCTTCACAGAAAGTTTGTAGAGCCAGACGTGGTACAGCCTCAGTGAATCTGGCCATTGATTCACTACAAAGTTTTAAATGAGGTCGTTACGTAATGGCATAATTTATTAATTAACAGATTAGTATTTACTGTACCGTTTAATAACTACAGGCTGATCGAGAACATTAATAAAAAGAGGTCCTATGTGCGCCTAGGCGCCCTTTGCTGCCTCTTTTACCACCAAGGACCTCCAGCGTGAGACTGGGCGACTGAATCTTGCCGTTAAGCAAGAGGTCGCACATTGTCTCCAAGGCCCACTTGATGCCCTCCGTCTGGGACTGAGCACACTGAACGAGCGACTGTAATTTATACAGGGAATCCAGTGGATTCCGTTTGCCGAATGTTTCATCCGCTGCTATCAATAATCGTTTCAACTGGTCGATGTTGATGACCTGGCGGAAGCAGTGCAAAGCGACTTTGACGAACTTCGGCGTCAGGCGCTCCCCCGCTGTCACCGTCAAGTTCGCCTGGAAGGCGTCGTACAAGTCTTCCTCGCTCAGCTTCTTACTGCCATTTCGCTTGGCACTTGCCTGAAGCCAGAAGATGCCCAGCTGGTAGACTCGCTGGACCATGGACGGGTACATGGTCTCGTAGTCAGCTCCAATTGTCTCTCTTGTGGTCAGGCAGGTCCAGAAGATCTGGCTTTCCTTCAGGATCACCTGGAAAGTCGCCGGCACCGACCTCCAGACTGCGGCCCACTCCTTGAAAAGTCGAAGGACAAGTAGGGGTTAGTTGGCATTATAATAAACTATGTAGGAGACAAATTAACTTGAAATGTTTTCAATTTTCATAGCCTTTAAACCTTGAAGCCGAAGCTCGAAGCTCTAAACTTGACTCACATGACAATGAGACACATACTCAGACAAGGCTCGTCCACAAAGACGTTCTTCTTCAGGTCGCGTGCTGTGGCCAACAGAATCGCAAAGTGGTCCTCCTCAGGGCTGAGCCGCTTCAACGACAACACTTCCCCCTTCATCTGCTCGGGAACAGGCGCCAGAAGGGTAAGTTCGCATGCGAACGGGCGACTGTACCTCGAGCGCATGAGGTAGTCCACAGCGGTCTCCAAGATCGGAACGCCACTGGTCGCAGAGAACCTCCAAAGTTGGTTGGCATAGAAATAGGAAATAGAAGGACCCATGAGACAAAAGTTTTTGATAGTTTTACTGAATGAGCATCATGAATCACCACTACGGCGCGGCAAGTAGCGACCAGCTTACCCACTGCAAGGCGACGGCCCCCTTCAACTTAGCAGAGACTGAGGCTCCGTTCTGAAGGTCATCCCAGCGTCTTGCCAAGGCGGCCCAATCAATTGGGTCCATCGTCGCGCCGTCTTTAACCCGCAGTGGGCCACTGGCTAACTTCCCTTGAAACTCAGTATGCCTGGCCGGCGTGTAGAGTGGATCACTTTAGTATCAAAAAGCAAAATTAAAAATTAGGCAAGAGCAAGCGACTGGACATTTCAGGCGAGGCTCGCACAAATCAGGTCCCAGGCTTCGGCCACTTTCTGTAGGTGTCGCGCGTTGACACCTTGCAGCTGGACATCGCCTGGCCGGATGCTAGTTGTTCTGTGTTTTTATGATGAAGTGAATAAGGACCCTGGGGCCTGGCTCAGCTACCGCCGGACTAGCCGCTGTTGGCGCAGCCTTGGCCTTCTTCGCCGGCGCCATGGCAAGAAGGCGCGAAAAAACAGACGGGCCCGGGAGGCTGCGCTTGAGCAGTGTGAACGGGCGGCTGCGTAGCAGCAGTTGACAGACAATTCTGTCCAAGTAAACCTTGGACATAGCCCTCAGGCGCTGGGTTCACATTTATTTTCATGTCCAATTTCACCGGCAGTCTGTCCCCTAGGCTGCGCCCGGGCCAAAGTCAGGACATGGAACAGGCGACGGATCAAATTGTGTCAGACACAGACAGCAGAGTGAAAAGTAGTCTTATAGTTTTGAAACAGGCGACAGTTACTCACACGACTACGGTGTGAAAACTATTTTAATTTACGCTTGCGCAGCCTCGCGCTTACGAGCGCGGCTTCGAGCACTGCCTGCAGGCATGGCAACGCCATGGAGTTGCCCAGCATGCGGCCTCGGGCCGCAGCCTTCATCCCCTGCCAGGGAATGTCGTTGCGGCGGAAGCCCTGCAGCAGCTGCGTCTCCATTAGCGAGAGGTAGCGTCGGCCCTGCGAACTATATCTTTAATGCAATATATCCCGGATTTAAGGGAACATGCAGCGGTTGATTGATTCAAGTAGTAGTTGAAAAGGACTTGTGAAGCAATATTAATACGTAGCCTGCAGCCAGTAATACCCTCTGGATGCACACCGGCTACTGCACAAAGTAGGCGCTTCTCCGACCGTGGCGTGGGCAAATTTGACACTTGCTCCAGTATCAACGATCACGGGCTCCAAGCTGTTAGCATTTGGGAATTTTTGCTTCGCCAAGCGGATGTTCTTCCTGGCTGTCTTCGTGAGTTGGCGTCTTGTGCCGCGTGGAGGGTCCTTTGCTAGGAAACTCCTCAAGGGCGGGCGCCCTCCGGCCGGGCGGCGCACTTTAAGCTCGGGCATTGCTGCCCCCGGGCACTGGGGCCGGCGAACGCCGACTATGTAGAGCCTTTTGCGAGCCTGTGGCAAGCCGAACTTGCGGCCTGAATACGTCAGCGCTGCAGTGACTTAACTCATACGATTCAATAGTAAAATTTATATTGAAGGAGACTAAAAATCAACTGTTAGGAGGAACCAAGACGCAGTCAAGCTGGAACACCTTCACATCGTAGGACGTCATTGTAGGGATATTGAAGCGACGGATGTCGCGCAGCTTGGCAAGGAAGTCCTTGTAGTACGGCTTCGTCCCTCGGGAAGTCAATTTGAAATATACATAGACTATCCATGAGACTAATCAGCGTCCAAGGGTCGTCCTTGTCGCAGGCCAGGAACATTTTCTAATATGAAGACCCTTGGCTGACTACGCCGCAGGTAGCGCAGCACCTTTTTGGAGCAGTCGCGCTTGTCTTGATGACCTTTCCGACGTGTAGACGCAGTACCTGAGCAAAGCGACAATGAAAGATTACCGGCCCTAATTTATTATAAGAGGACGGCGAGTGGATAATGAGACTAAATGCTGCTGCGGCTCTGAAGGGCTGGCAGGGAAACCCGCAGACGTAGACGTCTACTGATGATGCCCTGTCGGGCATCATCTCAGGGAACAGACGACAGTCCTTCAGGGCCTCAGAAGTGTCAAGGCGGCGCTTCAGAACGGTGCGAACGTCCTGATTGATGTCCGACATAAATGCTTGCCTGTATGGCACATTCAGACGCTCCAGCGCCAGCGCCTCTGTGCCTACGCCGGAGCAATCAGATCCCAGCGTGATGCGCCGGGCCACCCTCATGGTCAGACTGGCCATGGCTGCAGCAGGCATGGAACAGACGACAATTTAATTCCCAGCCACGTCGTGCTATCTGCATAAATTCAATCCATAAATTATATTGGTGAAGCATTAATTATTTTAAAAGTGCAATGTAAGCTGCAATTCCGTGACTGTCATTGTGTCATGCGTGGACTGAGAGCCTTGCCCGCCATGGAAGGCAGCAATTCGCATGCAACTGAGCAACGCCGGGGCAGCCAAGTGACACAGCGCCGGCGGACGCTTTCATTTTTCCTGTCGCTGGCCCGAAGACATTGTGAGTCTGAGGCGTCCGTCTATTAATAGGTTCTGTGAACAGGCCTGAGTGAAGCAGTTTAGAACAGGCGACAGGCGGGGCATGCCAGCCCGTCCTAAGCTTTCTGATTTTTCTTCGTCGTCCTTGCCTTGAACTCAGCCAAGACCTCCGCGAGCGGCATGGCAAGGTTGTCCAGGGCTTTGTTGCGGCACACAGCGCAGCCTACGCCTTTGCTGTTACGGCATTTCGAGCAACCCAAGTCGCAGCCGTGCCACTTGAGCGCTTGCGCGAGTTCCTTGCTCTTATTCCGGCCGCGGCCTTGCCCCGCCTTCTTGTTCTTCTGGCGTGCTGCGCCGTTGCTCTTTGGCCGGCTGGTCGTTGGTAGCGGCACTTCTGCGTCTCCTGTGTCTGCCTCCTGACCAGCTTCCAGCTCGTTTTCGGCCTTGTCCTTCTCGGTCTCCGAGGGCACAGACGATGCGGGCTTCTTAGAACAGGCAAACGGCGCAGCAGGGCACCGACCAGCCGGGCGCTTTTATCAGTCGGTGCTGCATCCGTGTGACCATCCATAAACAGCGTCCGCTGGCTGTCGCTGTCAATCTCCTCACCATCAGTGCCGGCAGGCTCCTCGTAGTCCTCTCCGGGGGGCATAGGCCACCAGGACTCTGCAGAGGAACGGCCACCGCCGGTCGCCATGAAAGAAACAGGCGAGATCGCAGCAGAGCTCTCCAGACCAAGAGCCACTGCGCTGCGGCGTCCCGGTGCATTTGTTGCTTGGCCGAGCATTTCACGATAATTTCTGAATTTGATAATTATTCTGACTATTTATTCAGTTATTTATTTAATATGAGTATTGACATTAAATCAAATACGCCACGTCATCTCTGGGCCTTATTTTTAACTCGCAGCAGCTGCAAGCGTCACTTGCGCTTACCTGTGCCCTTCGCGTCCTTGCTGGACTGGCGGCGCCTTAGGTAGTCTGGCAGCAAGCCAAAAACAGCAAGGTCGCCTCTTAGTCTTCCTAGACAAGCATAATAATCTCTAATTTGATTTTGATCCCGGGCACTCTTCGGTCCACCACTGCTTGCCATAGCTGTTGCCCAGCCTAGAAAGCAGAAGCCCCGCAACAGGGCGAGTAAGTAAGGCGCAGAGCATGCGATTGTGCAGCTGGGCAACAGACATGGAACAATCCAAGGCATGTCTAATGACAATGACTTCTTGAACCCAAAACACATCATTCAATTTTGGCGCCCATGCCTGTCAGAGCACTCCCGCACGATCTTCATCACATAGCCTGAGGGGCTCTTGAGGTCTGTCTTGTTGCGAAGGAGGCGCCTGAGCGCGTTATAGGTTTTAGGGTATAGGGAATGATAACAACTAAGAACTGCAAGACAATTACCTTTAAAATTGCAAGGCCAAAACAATGCAGCAACTCCCGTCCACGAGACTCATTGAGCTGTATGTACCAGTATGCTGCGCGCTGCGAAGGCCTCCGGAAGGCCATTTTTGGAGGACAAGCGGCTTCAGATTAAAGACAAGACGACCCACACAGACGCGGAATAAGCGACCAGAAAAAGCGGGGGCTAGCCTTGAGAGCTCTTAACTTATGCACACTGAACAATAGCAACCGATGAAATAAAGTGATTCCTCACGTAAACTTTTTGCAAGCAGACGTGGCCGGTCCATGTGCTGCAGCACGTCGCGGAACTCCTGCATGGCTGGCAGGTCCAGGACCACGGAAAGCTTGGCCTGACAAGCTTGAAAAAATATTCTCGGAAATTTACGATTTTCTCAGTCAATACTTGACTAAACGCCAGTTAAAAGAATGGTTTTGGCTACGTTTTCGCTCGCTCGGGGGGGCGGAGGGGGGGGGGGCTGTTTTTTTTGTTTTTCACCTTTATTTTGGTGTCTCATAATTAATTATTAATTTCGCTTTCAAAATCTCCTTTGGGTTTTAGGGCTACGCCAAAAATTAGGGTTTAAGGATGTAAGGGTTAAATAAGGGTTCCATCACACATGGATCCTCAAACCTTAAATTCCTCAGCCAGCCCTGGTAACACTGGTACCTGTCACACAGTCAGCAGTGATACATTTTTTTTTGCTGCGCTCACTCCGCTTCAGGCTGTTGGTAAGAGCTAAGCCGCTGCCGGTTTTTTGGCTGGCCTTGTCTTGGACTTGCCCTTGGCTGTCGCCTTGGCTGTCGCCTTGGCTGTTGCCTTGGCTGTTGCCTTGGCTTTTGCCTTGGCTTTTGCCTTGGCTTTTGCCTTGCCGCCTTGCGGATAGGTCACGAGCAGGCCCCGATCAGCATCGGTGCCAGGCGACGTGGTAAAACTAGACTTAGATGGGGGGCGATGATCTTGGGCATCCTCACCCTGACGAGTGTAGTTCAGCGGGACATTGTCAGCGCGCTTCTTAGTCAGAACAGGCGACCTTGTCGGCTTGAACTTGCTGTGCCCCTCAGTCATCTTCAAGACCTCGTCGTCAGGTCGTTTCTCTGCCGGCCCATCATCATGTTGCTCGTTCATAGCAAGCGTGACGCTGAACTGCTTCAACCTTTGCAGCGGAGAAGGGATGAACGTTATAAGGTTTCAAGGTTAAAGTTAAGGGCTCGAAAATTCAGTTCAACTGTCAACAGTACTCGCCTATTACATGTATTGCGCACGCATGATATTTTTCCGAGTCGCGTGTGCGACTTAGCCACAGACACTTTCACAACCTTGGCCATCATCTTGGACATGGCTGGGCCTGACGAGATATGTGAGTGAGTCAACTGGTAAGATCGCAACTCTGCTTTCACCCAGCCAGCCTCTGTGACTGCTGAACAGGCGCAAGGGTGGCAAGCCAGAACAGGCGCAGGATAGAACAGACAAAGGCTGCAGCAGAGCACTTAGTGGTGCGGGCAACACTGCGGTCACTCACGTTGGCTCAACACCATGGACAAAACTTGCAATTGGCTAATTTTTCAGCATCTGCGGCTTCTGTGTTGAGCCTTGTTGCAGCCTCGTTTCTGCTGCACACCGGCTGCGCGTGGATGAAAGTTATTATATAGCAAGGCCTCACCACGTCAATTTTTCCCCCAAGAAAGAAACTTTCATCATTGCGCAGCAGTGACGGCACGTTGCTGAGGAGTGACTCTTGCTGAAGCAAATTAGACTATGGGACCCGGCAGTTGCGCTAATCTTAATAATTAAATAATAATAAGTAGCCCCGGCCACAAGCCAGCGCTGTGCGAAGGCCAAGTGTTGATGAAGGTTTTATCCTTTACTTGGGGTCCAACACGTTATCTTCAGATAGAAGGTGATTATACACGTAATTCAACACGCGCGGCCGCCCTAAAAGAACAAGCGACGCCGGTTTCAGAACTGCAGCAGCAGTCTTGTGCCCAGTCACCCTCAGAAACAGATTTCAGGCGTGAAGATCATCGAGAAAATCATGGCAGAAGAAGAGCGTGGTTAATTATGTCAGTCAGATGCCAAGACTTAGACGTGAGCAGGGGCGCACTCAAAGGCTGCCTAGACGTCCAATCTTGCGCCAGGAGCTCGAGCCAGCAGCTGTAATTGCAACTTCACGTCTGTAGCTGCTGGAGGAACCGGAAAACCTTCAAGCACATGCCAAAGTTCACCCGCAGTTCTCTGGGCAGTGGAACAGTCGACCTGTGCGCCTTAGTTGGAACAGGCGATTGAACAGTCGACTGAGACAATGAGAAGTAAGCCCAAAGAACATGCGACGGGGTCAAGCTGTCTAACAGCGCTCGCAGAGCCTCGCGCTGACCAGGGCTGCTTCCAGGGCCGCTTGCAAGCACGGCGCTGCCATGGAGTTGCCGATCAGGCCTCGTCCCTTCCCAGGGGATGTCCTCAGAGCGGAAGCCCTGCAAACGCTGCATCTCCATGAGCGACAAGACACGTCTACCCTGGCCAGGGATGCGCGCGTGAAACAACTAACATGTCTGACTCAGTTCCTAACTGCTTATTTCTCTTATTTTCAATTTGAGCCTTGGGGTTTAGGCTTTAGGGTTGCCTGGAGCCAGTAGTATCCACGGGAAGCACAACGTCCACTTCAAAGCGTGGGAGTTTCTCCGACAGTAGCGCGCGAAAGGCTTTCGATGCGCCTGCATCCACGATACCAGGCGACTGTTGGTTGGGAAGCCTCCTGGCGGCATGGCGTACGTTCTTCAAGTTAGTCTCGGTCAGCTTCCTTCCGTCCCCCTTGGAGGACTTGCCGACAAAAACTGCTGGAGGGGCGGAGTTTCGCCCTTATGCCGCCTTACCTTGAGACCATCTCGAAACTGGGGGGCTCTGCCGCCATTTATGATATTCCACAATTCAAAATGTGAACTTGCAGGCCATCTGCCTCAGTCCACTGGGCAATGTCACACCTGCAGTCAGAGCAAATCTCTTTTGCCCGTGCACTTGACTGCTTTGGCTTGGATGAACGTCGTCATTGCTGACCTCACATCTCCTCTTCGAATCATTCGAAGAGGGGATGTGAAGCCAGCAACGATTTGTAAAATGTTGGAGTCATGCTTTCAAGCCAGCTTCTGGCTTGAAAGGATGACTCAAACAGTTTACAAGTCATTGCTGGCTTCACATCCCCTCTTCGAATGATTCGAAGAGGAGATGTGAGGGCCTGGAACGTTTTCCAGAACGAACGCCCTGGGCTAACTTGTCCGCAAGTAGTCGAAAACCTTCTCGGAGCAGTCCCTTTTGTCTCGGTGGCCTTTACGACGAGAAGAGGCTGCGGCTGAATTTATGACATTGATTCCATATTATTAAATAATAGCACGACCGGATAAATAAAGTGCGAACTGCAGCCACGGCTCTAAACGGCTGGCACGGGAAGCCAGAAACGTAGATGTCGACGTTGTCCGCCGCCTCCGGGTCCATCTCCTCGAACAGGCGACAGTTCCGCGCTTCAGGAAACAGACGACAGCCGCGTCACCTGAGGGGTCGACGCAACCTGATCGAAAGCCCCGCCATGGCGCAGCACGTGCGGGTCTAAGGTTTTTATAGGGCTTAAAGATATCAGCTGGTTTTGGGTTTAAGGTTTAAAGCTTAGAGTGTAGAAAGTGAATCTTAAATAGTCTTAAACACTCATAATTAACTAAGCCTACAAGGCATGTTGAGCCTAGGCAACACTCAGGTTATTAAATTAATAACGACACTGCAACAATACGATACGCTGACAGAGCCGAAAAATCCAGGACACCAGTCAGCAGCATGCCTGAGCTGTTACTGTTGTTTGCAGCAAGGTCGTGGCGCTGACACAGACAGGACATTTGCAATCACTGGGCACGTTTTACGCTTCACTCGCCAAGGTGACAGGTAAAACTGCAGCTCGCGAACAGGCGACAACTCAAAACTGGGCTCGGAGCAGACGACGGCTCTAAACTTCAGAGCTCAGAGGCCGCCATTCAAGGAAGCTTGCTGGCCTTCCGGAAGATCTCGGCGTACGAAAGCCCCAAATCATCCACGGCAAGTCGTCGGCAGCGGCCGCACCCAACACCTCGGCTCCGACGGCACTTGCTGCAGCCCAGGGACATGTCCAGCTTCTTGAGGGCTGCTGCCAGGCGCTTGGCCTCAGCGCGCTTTCCTTTCGGCTCTGCCTTTTTCTTCACAACCTTAGCCGCAGCAGCCGCGTCCTTGCCCTTGACCTTCGTCTTTTCGGGCCCCGCAACCTTCGTCGTGGCAACCACCGGCAGCCCGACCTCCTCGTCGGTCGTGGGGGCCTCTTCCTCTCCTGGGCC